CTGTCTCAAAACGTGGGGGGAAAAAAGGGCCAGAGTGGCCGGAGCCCCGTGACAGGGTAAACGGGGTGGGGGTGGGGGGCGCGGGGGACGGCGGAGAAGCGAGCAGAGGCTACACGTCCACCACATGGAAAGCTGTGGTGGGAGATCCTGATACCTCCTCTGAGGACCACAGAGCGAAGTCTAAGCATCTGGGAAACCCTCACAGAGGTAAGTAGCCACAGAGGTTAGGGCTCCCAGCCTGCATATGTGCGTGCGTGCGTGCGTGTGTGTGTGTGTGTGTGTGTGTGTGTAACAGCACCCAGTTTTCTCACACTTCTGCACCTAGCCCTCTCGGTCACCCCCAGATCATGAGCAGAGCCTGCCCCTTCAGGCTCGCCAGGGGGTCCTACCTCGGAGTGACTCTGGGACGCGCTGAGGCTGCTGCCGCAGGTTGGAGCCAAACAAGAAGCACAGGCCATTGACGTACGTGTTCTCCTTGCAGGTCTGGTGCACGGTGGGGCCGCAGGCCTGCAGAGCAGGGTGCGGTGAAACTCCTGTCCCTCCCGCCACCCCTGGGAGCCCGGGTACCCCATGCCTCCCCTCAGGACCCTCCAGGCTTCCCCGGGCCACTCACCAGCAGCTGGGTGGGCTTGGTGGCAGCTGCCAGCGACAGGCCCAGGGACATGTTCACAGCCTCTGGGGGCACTGGGGAGGCAGATAGGACACATACGGTCACCGTCAGGGGCTTACAGGGAGGGCTGTGTAAGAGGCAGGCAGGGACGCTTCAGCCTGGCAGCATGGGGGCACCCAGGTCATGCAAAGGCAGGAAGAAGCTACCTAAACTCACAGAGAGAGCAGAGACGGGGGAGCCCCCACCACAGAGCCCCAGCGCGGGGAGCGCCGGCTCTGGGTCCCGGCAGAGCGGCGACTCACCTTGCAGGGAGACGGGCTCACACCGGCCCGTGCTGTAGTCACACTGGTAGAGGCCTCCCGTCTGGTTGGCAGCACGGACCTCCTGCGGGGCTCCAACCACCACCCTGCAGGAAGAGGTGGGAACCCAGACAACGCTGACACATGCGGAGCACAGTGGGGACCCTCACAAAGAGCCTGGATTTCAGGAAAGAGGAGGGAGAATTCACAAAGAAAAAAGATGGGAAGGGAAGACACAAAACTCAGAGGGCAATTTTAAATGGATAAATTCAGCCTGGCGTGGTGGTGCACGCCTATAATCTATCTCAGCATTCCGGAAGGCTGAAGCAGAAGGATCACAAGTTGGGCAATTCAGTGAGTGACACACCCTGTCTCAAAATAAAATTTTTGTAAAATTATAAAGGGGTAGGAGCCGGGCATGGTGGTGCATGCCTGTAATCGCAGCACTCGGGAGGCTGAGGCAGGAGGATCATTGCGCGTTCAAGGCCAGCCTGGGTTACAAAGTGAGCTCAAGGCCAGCCTGAACTGCACAGCAAGACCCTGTCTCAAAATGACAAAAAAAAGAGGAGGCTGTGGTGGGTAGGGATACATCTCAGTGTAAAGGCCCTAGGTTCAATCTTCAGTACCATAAATGAATAAATACTCAACCACATAGTCATTTTAAATAAATTTCTGGTAATAGCCAAATCTTAGAAACAACCCAAGTGCCCATCAACTGGTGAATGGAAGATGTGGTTGTTGGGACAATGGAGTATTACTCTGCTGTGAAGAAGGATAAACTTGAGACATTTCTAGGAAAATGGATGCATCCTGAGTCCATACTCTGAAGTGAAATACATCAGATACACATGTAAATACCATATTGTTTCTTTAGTATAAGAAACTAAACGTGTAAATAAGGACCAAAACGTATAGGAGGTATTGTGAAACAGAAAAAAAAATGTTCAAATGGGGAGGGGAACAAGGGAGTGGAGAGGAGGAAAGGAAAAAGAGAAAAGTAAAAAAAAAAATGAGAAAAAAAGGAAAACATCGAAACAGAGCTTTTGTACATGGGGAGGGTAGGAGGGGTTAGAGGGAGGGCAGGGGAATGGGGAAAAAAAAAGTTATATCATGTACAGGTACAAATTCTCCATGAAGAATGTGATCATTGTGTATATCTAAAATGTACCAATAAAGTCTGACTGAAAAACAAAACAAAACAAAAAAAAAATAAGTAAAATAGAATACATAAATTTCCGTATATTATGAATGATTATAAGCAAAGTCAAAAAACAAATGAGAAACTAGAAGAAAGAGAGAGCTCGTACCCCAGACTACCCCCCTCAGTACAGTCAGCACCTACCAACTGTTGGGGGGGGTGGGGAATGTGAGCAACAGATGAGAAGAAAGAGAAGGGTTACAGAAAAGGAAATACATCACCCCTTAAAAGGGAAAGCAATTTGAAACTAAACTGTGAGCC